TGTTCTCAAATGGTCTAGTGACATCATACAAAAGCTTTGACCACTAGACAATGAGTTTCAATGATTGAGAAACCTTGGCAGAAGCCACATGAAAGGATAAATGTGTTTTCAAATGTTTTACATCTGAGCAGAAACCACAGGAAAAGATGAATGTATTGTCAAATGTTTTACGAACCAGTGATTATGGTGCTGAACCAATGTTGCAATCATATGGTTTCCATTTATTGATCCAAGATGAAGTTTGTTTTCTTCAACCCCAAGATTAGAAGTGAGATATAATGAAGATTTCTTTCCACAGAAAGAGAGCTGAAAAATTTTAAACAAGAAACTAATGGGGTCAACTAAGGTTGAACTACAGGTTGTTGTTAAACATCTTTACATGATATGGTTTGAATTGTTTTATTCGAGATCTGATTATATGTAGAGACATGAAAGGAATTGGAATAAATCTTCCTTGTGATGTTTCAAGAGTTAAATTAGAACAGACTCTACTTTCCTAATTAATCCCTGCTGAGTCAGGCATATCTACATCTACACTCTTCAAAGATGATAGATTCTCTTTTTAAAGATGATAGATTCTCTTTTCAAAGATGAAAGCTTTATGGGATTTCTACACAAGTCCAAGCAAATAAAGTTGGTTTTATCCAAGACAAAATGGGGCATCAGGGTCATAATTTTGACTACGACAAGAGTTCCACAAGTGAAACATTTCTTCTAAGACTTAAATGAAGCAAAGAAGGCACCACGATACAAGTTGATCAGATGATTCTGCAGAAATGCAAGCTTGATAGCATAAGTTGCTACACTGATATCCAGAGGTAACCCTGGCAATAAATGATGAAGTGAAGGAAGACCAAGTTCACCACTTTGAAGTCAAATGAAGATTGCATCAACATTCATGCATTCATAAGAACATCATTTGCACAATAGACAATGCATTACATTGATACATCTGAGTGCATTCAAAAATGAAATTTTACAGATCTTCGGAAGAACAAGAAGATTCATGGTAAGAAATACCTTACAAGAAGAAGGTATTCAAAACCGTAAATACAGGAATCACGCAAACATCTGAAGAATAGATGGACGTAATCCACAAAAAAAAATGAGCATTATTTTGAGATTGGGGCATGTTACCCAATCAACATGTTATTTTGAAAAATAATGAGAAAACGATTTCCATAGTTTCTCATTCAATCCTTTCTAAAAATGAAATTGTTGAAAAGTAAGAAAACGATTTCCTTAGTTTTTTTACTTAGTAAACTATTTCCCTCATCTGTAAGTCCTTCAGTGCATGATGTTTCCAAAAAGCCTTCGGGAGCTTTTTGATGTTTTCAAAGCCTTCGGGTCATCTAAGTCCTTCAGTGCATGATGTTTCCAAAAAGCCTTCGGGAGCTTTTTGATGTTTTCAAAGCCTTCGGGTCATCTGTAAGTCCTTCAGTGCATGATGTTTCCAAAAAGCCTTCGGGATCTTTTTGATGTTTTCAAAACCTTAAGGTCATCTGTAAGTCCTTCAGTGCATGATGTTTCCAAAAAGCCTTCGGGAGCTTTTTGATATTTTCAAAACCTTCGGGTCATCTGTAAGCCCTTCAGTGCATGATGTTTCCAAAAAGCCTTCGGGAGCTTTTTGATGTTTTCAAATCCTTCGGGTCATCTGTAAGTCCTTCAGTGCATGATGTTTCCAAAAAGCCTTCGGGAGCTTTTTGATGTTTTCAAATCCTTCGGGTCATCTGTAAGTCCTTCAGTGCATGATGTTTCCAAAAAGCCTTCGGGAGCTTTTTGATGTTTTCAAATCCTTCGGGTCATCTGTAAGTCCTTCAGTGCATGATGTTTCCAAAAAGCCTTCGGGAGCTTTTTGATGTTTTCAAATCCTTCGGGTCATCTGTAAGTCCTTCAGTGCATGATGTTTCCAAAAAGCCTTCGGGAGCTTTTTGATGTTTTCAAATCCTTCGGGTCATCTGTAAGTCCTTCAGTGCATGATGTTTCCAAAAAGCCTTCGGGAGCTTTTGATGTTTTCAAAGCCTTCGGGTCATCTGTAAGTCCTTCAGTGCATGATGTTTCCAAAAAGCCTTCGGGAGCTTTTTGATGTTTTCAAAGCCTTCGGGTCATCTGTAAGTCCTTCAGTGCATGATGTTTCCAAAAAAACCTTCGGAAGCTTTTTGATGTTTTCAAAGCCTTCGGGTCATCTGTAAGTCCTTCAGTGCATGATGTTTCCAAAAAGCCTTCGGGAGCTTTTTGATGTTTTCAAACCCTCAGGGTCATCTGTAAGTCCTGCAGTGCATGATGTTTCCAAAAAGCCTTCGGGAGCTTTTTGATGTTTTTAAACCCTCGGGGTCATTCATAAGACCTCTGGGCAGAATGTTTTCAACATTTCCATATTACTTAAAATAAGCCGAGTGAAAAATTATTGTCTTTTTCGTCTTTGCTCTATTCTTGTTAACACAAGAATGAGCAAAGAGGGGCAGCTGTAAACACTAATTTTTCATTTTACTTAAATTATTATTAAAATTATTATTATTATTAAATATTATTATTATATTATATATATTATATTATTATTAAATAATTTTACAGGCCCAAATATATTACAATCAAACCCAGTTCAGGCCCAAGTGGAGACCCAATCCGGATGGCTCAAAGCAGAACCCTAAACCCAATTAGGGTTTTCTCCTTTTCCAGTAGTCAGCCGCCTCAGCTCACAGCCGTTGGATCTGGCCTTGATCCAACGGTCCCCAGATGCTCCAGCAATAAACCCTAGGGTTATGATAACCCTAGGACCACGCGGCGCCACCCCTGAAGCCAACCCGACGACCGAATCTCTGATGCCAGATGGTCCAACCAATTGCTGCCGACGCTGCTGCTTCCACGACGTCGGCCTCGTCGAGCTTTCCAGAAGCCAGGTGACTCACCAAAGATGCTACCCATGGGACCGGTCCGAGGAGTACACTGTGGTGGCTATAAAAGCCACCACTGAACCTGTAAAAAAAAAGAGGGGAGAGGAGGAAGAATCGGAGATAACCAAAACAGAGAGGCAACCAACACACAAACAAAAAACCACGGCAAGAACAGTGAACCAAACAGAGAGCAGAATACGAGAACAAATCGACAGAAAGAAGAGGAAAAGGAGCATCTTACCATCATAAAAGCCTCCAAACCGTTTGGAACCACTGGAATCGTTGTAAAACCGAAGGTAAAACCTTCGATTTATTTTAGATCTAGAACGATCTAAAGCGTTTTAGGACAAGTGAAGGCCATATTCGGCCTTAGGAAGTCGAGATCTACACTCTAGGGTAATTTGAGAATTCCGGCCACCAGTGGTGGCGGTCGGCGGTGGTGATCGACGCCGTTGGTGGTGGCCGGCCGGCGACAGAAAATTAGAGAGAGACGAGAGAGTTTCTCTTCTCTCTCAGCTAGAGAGAGAAGAGGAAGGATGAAAGTGAGAAGCTGGCCCTTAAGGGCCGGCCTTGAGGGGTTTTTAAACCCTTCCCCAAACGACGCCGTTTTGGGGAAGGGGGATATCGGTAATTTCTCGTGTGGGTAAACTATACCCGCTGCCACCATAGTTTTGTAACTTTTCATTTTGGTCACTGAAATCAAATCTTGAACCTTTTAATTTGATCTTTCAATTTTATTTAGTTTATAATTTAGTCTCAGCCTGTATATTTATATATTTAGGGTAAATACCGTATTTAGTCCTTACAACTTTAATAACTTTTATTTTGACCTCTAATTAATTAATTAAGGATTAATTATATTAGTAACACATAGTTTTTTAAATTAGAACTTTTAATTTTAATATGTTATAATTTAGTCCTTAATTTTAATACTTTCATTTATTTTACAAGTTTTATTACCGTTTATATTTTAATAATAATTTTATTTTAGTCGTTATTTATTTTATATATTTAATTTATTGATTATTATTATGTATCATATAAATATATATATTAAATAATATTTATTTGCTTATTTTTATATTTTATATATATATTAAATAAAAATCCTATTTGAAATTTTAATTTTATATAAATTACTTTTAAGAAAAATAATCATATTTTAATATTTATTTTTCAATATCGAAGAAAAGGACAGTCTTAATACAACTGGATGTCCTATTCTGGTATTTTAAAATTAAAAATTAATAAAAAATATTTAATTTAATTTAAATTAATATTTATCAATATCAAAGAAAAGAGCTGTCTTAAGGCACCTAGAAGTCCTTTTCCGATATTTATAAATATTTTTTTATAATTTTGAAATAATAGGATTATAAATTAAATATATTTTGAATTTTTTTATTTTTATTTTAGAGACAATTTATAATTAAAAAGTACCAATTTTGGGCGTTGTAGGGGTGCTAATTCTTCCCTAAACGTAACCGACCACGAATCCCTTTTTATTTTTAAAAAGAACGAATTTTGGTTATAAACGCAGATCAGTTCATTTTTTAATTGATGTTTTCTTAAAACTCTTTTAAAAAATAATTTTTAGGTATTCGACCTACCTAACCCAAAAGGCCGATGGCGACTCCCAAATTATTTTCAAAACCATTTATTTACATCAATTTTCCCGTCAAGAAAATATTTCGTGCCCGGACGAAAACCGATTACGACAATATTCAAGTGGAAATATTTCATTACTCGATTGTCCTCTTGTTCTTCATTTTCCTGACATCTTCCTACCAAGGTTGGGTGTGGGTCTGTGGGATGTTGATCATGTCACGTATGAGTTGTGACCACACGACCTAACTTTAAATATTCATCTGACTTTTTTAATATACATAAATTATTCGTCTTAAATTATACTATCTAAAAGAAAGTTGTTGACAACTTGTTTGGAAAAGAAAGACAGTAACGTTAATCTATGTGTTTACTTATGTGGACAGCATTCTGAATATGAATCGAGCGGTCGGTTCAGTGGGTTTACTCGCGTAAGTTCAGAAGACTCGGTCGACACGACAGTTAGATTCGCGATAGGCTCAGTTTATAAGCGAGTTAAGAAGAAAACTAGAACACGCAAAAGGGGGAAATATGCAAAAGATAAAGCATCCCCTCCCATTCCCAAAACCAAAACTCCTCCGTATAACAGCAAGGAAATGCTGCTATGAGGTATTTGTGCTTTAATTAGGGATGACAAAAGTTTATGTTCACATTATTATTTATATTTTAGATTTATAACTAATTTTTTAATAATATAATATTTAGCAGAAGAGGCAAAAGCTGAAAAGACTCAACAGTGGCATGAAGTGGATAAAATCCGATATCGAAGAAATAAGTGAAGAGCAGAAAGAGATCAAAGAGAAGCAGACGCAATTAAGAGAAAAATTTGAAGCCATCGACTTGGAATGTCAACAACTTCAGAAAGAGACAAAGTTGATAATACAGCAGAGTGCCAGAACCCAGATCCGATTAGCTCTAATGTTTCAGATCTTGAAAGCAAGAGAAAATCTGGAATTTGACAAGGCAGCCTTGCTCACTAATGCTCTCCGGTATTTTTATCTTCTCAATTCGATACTGTAATCTCCCTTAAGCCTTTCTGACTTCATTATGTTTTCTTTTTCTTCTTCTATATTTGCAGTGAAGTGATAGCGGGGGAAGGGCAGGAAATGAATGGTTCAGGAAAATGAAGATTGGAGGTGGAACCGAACTCAATTGTTATTGATTTCCTTTATATGTCTGTCAACGTTGTCATCCAACTTTCACTACTATCTGTATCTTTAAGTTTAGGTAGTAAGTTTGGATTAAATAAAAGTTTATGCTATTGTAACAGCTGCAGGTCATTCATACTGCAACACGAACCAGCAATGTTTACATTTACCACCAACCACGTGTCTTATGAATAATTCTGCTTACGGAATTTAAAACTCTATAATTAAAGTACATATAAGAAATTAGGGAGAAGAAAGGTGAGAAGATTAATGCAACTAGAATTACCGTAACAACCCCGTTACCATGCTGTATACTCATTGATTATGGTATTCTGTCTACTTCGAATAGCTGGTTTTTGGCCCATGGATACTCTTGCATCTATATCCTTAGTCGTAACATTACCTCTCCATGCACCCGAACCTTGTCCGCAAGATTCATAGGAAAAGATTAAAAAGGTTGATCTTTATCCTCGCAAGTAGCAACATCTGCAGAGAAACCTTTCCAACTGACCTTCCATTGCTCTACTGAACGCCCCGAGCGTGAAAGCGGTCAAGTTGCTAGAATAGACGTTGGTTGTAACATTAAGGTAGCATTCAACTCGACAAGATGCAAGGGAGTGGTTTGCTGATCTAGGACCCCCAACGCATTTGCGAAGCAAGGAAACATGAAAAAATGAATGGATACGTGCGGATATTGGTGTTACATAGCTTGGAGCCATGTAGTTATCTGCTAATTTTTATCCATTGATCACGGACTAGATAATTATGTGTTTATATATGTATTCATATGAGACTTCAATTTTTCTCATTAATAATCTTCATGTGAATGTCCCTTAATCCTAAACCTTGTGTGTGTTGAAGTCAATCAATGGAAAGAAATTTTAATTTGAAGTAGGCCATCGCCATAATATGCCTTTTATCCAAGACTTGGATTCCAAGTACATCCGAATCATCCTTGACTCGGTCTCCAAATAGAATTCATTATAAAAAAAAACGTACTTGTGACACACGCATATGATTCAAACATTCAACTCCAACAGTCAACAGAATTCTGCTCTTTCGAGCCAACCATTCTGAAATGGAATCCACACTTGACTATATAACACATTTTTGGCACACTAGTCTTCCAATTCACTTCAAACATTTCCTTCTTTCTACTCCTATTGTATGCTCTATGGATTCCCTATCCCACCAATCTCACTTTGTGTTGTTCCCTTTCATGGCCCAAGGTCACTTGATCCCCATGGTCGATATTGCTCGACTGCTAGCACAACGTAAAGTGATCGTCACCGTAGTTACAACACCTCATAACGCTGGCAGAGTCCGAAAAACAATTGCTCGAGCCGTTGAATTAGGCTACCCTATCCGTTTAGTTGAGCAAGTGTTCGGATTGGAAGACGGGGTGGAGAATGTAGACATGATTAGTTCAATGGAGCAAGTGTTCAAATTCTTCACTGCAGCAAACGGTATGGACGAAGCCGTCGAGAAATTATTCGAGAAGCTAACACCACGCCCCGGTTGTATTATTTCAGACTGGTGCCTCTACTATACTCTCAAAATTGCAAACAAGTTTCAGGTTCCGAGGATAACGTTCAATGGAACTTGTTGTTTCTGTTATCTTTGTGTGCACAACATAAAGTCCTCGAACATACTAAATAGCATAACATCCGATTGTGAACGCTTCACCGTGCCGGGCTTGACTGAAACGATCGAGTTTACAAAACTCCAGTTACCGGCTAACCATGACGAATCTTGGAAGGATGTTTTTGATCTGATTCACGAAGCTGACCAAGCATCATATGGGGTTGTCATAAATAGTTTCGAAGAGCTGGAGTTGCCGTATGTGGAAGAATATACGAAGATAACGAAAGTTTGGTGCATCGGTCCAGTTTCTCTGAACCACAAAGACGAGTCGGATAAGGCTGAAAGAGGTAAAAAGGCTTCTATCAATGAGCAGCAGTGCTTGAAGTGGCTTGATTCTCAAGAAAACAGCTCTGTAATCTATGCTTGCCTCGGAAGTGTAAGCTCTATAAAGCCACAGGAACTGATAGAGTTGGGTTCGGGTTTAGAGGCATCGAACAAGCCATTCATTTGGGTCCTAAGAGAAAACAACGACACATCAAACCAAGTGGCGAAGTGGATTAAAGAGGATGGATTTGAAGAAAGAACAAGAGGAAGAGGGCTTGTAGTTATGGGATGGGCACCACAAGTACTCATCTTGTCGCACCCAGCAGTAGGAGGGTTCTTAACTCATTGTGGATGGAATTCAACAATCGAAGGCATTTCTGCTGGCGTCCCGTTGTTGACATTGCCACTGTGGGCAGACCAGTTTACCAACGAGAAACTCGTAGTACAAGTGCTGAAGATCGGAGTAAGTGTTGGGGCCGATACACCTACAGCTTGGGGAGTTGAGAAACCAGGGTTCAGGTTGAGGAAAGACCAAGTTAAAAACGCAATAGACGAATTGATGAATGAAGGAAACGATGGAATAGAGAGAAGACGAGCTAAAGAGTTTGCCGAGAAGGCAAATGAAGCTGTTCAAGTGGGAGGATCGTCTTACCTCAATATGACACGGTTAATCGAAGATATCATCCAAAAATCTTCAAAAATATGTTAAGATTTTATAACAATCTTGAAAAATGGCGTTTGGATTTGTTTGCTATCATTATCATCACCATAGTAGATTGTTTGATTGAATATGTCATTTTCATTGCAGTTACTTTTAGGGTGGCACTAGCATCCATAATTGTTTATTGTCACCTTTGCAATTGACGGAAGAAGGCAGCGTGTCCATCGTATTCAAGGGACACGTGAAGCCAAGTTTCAAGTTGCTTCATGGAAATATCAAATATCCTCAGTGTTTTCCAAGAGATAATTAGAATAATGACAATTTTAGGCTAATGGTATCAATATATGTAATATCAAATATCAAATAAGACAGCGTGTCATCGTATCAATATATGTAATATATATAATAATATAGGCAGAAAAGTTAACATGTGTGTTGATCTACTATCAATCTCATCATAGTACATGATGATTTTATAAATAAAAAAACATATTTTTCAAAATAATAAGAAAACATATTATTAGCTAATGGTAATGTTATGTGCTTTATTAGTTAAGGAAAAAGACGTGTACTCATACAGGGTCTACTCGAAGAAAGGAGAGGTTTTATGGACAAAAAATAGAATTAACTGGACTCGGGAAGCGAATCAGAATACCAAATTGTTTTCAATCTGATTGTTGCGAAGCAAAATGGGCAAAGAATTGGAAGGCTTGATAATGACAATAGTGCTTGCTCAGTACATATGTTGAATGGGATTTCATCTTTAAAGTGTTGGAAGCTTTGGAGGTTCCTCAAGTCACTCTTGAATGGTTTAGATGTTGCATTATTAATCGTAAATATTTTGTTACTATAAATGAGGGGTAAACCATGATACCCACTGTCAACATACCTTTTCGTCCGGGTACAACACTCTCAATAAGAGTTTTATTAGGATTCAAACTCCTAAAAATATGATAGAATTTTACTAAGATTTAAACTACTAAAAATAGGATAGAGTTTTACTATGATTCAAACTCCTAAAAATAGGATACACAAGCATTATAAATAGCCATTGTAACTCACTATTGGAAGACACAATTTATAGACGAAACATGAACATAAAATTTAGAGCAATCAAAGTATTTTTTTGCAAAGTTTTGAAAGCAACAAAGGTAAAAAATCTTACATTTTTCGGTTGTTAGGCTTGCATGTGTCGTTTGTTTCTTGCTTTCAATTTGTAAAACCACAAAAACTCAAAAGGCCATTGACCGGAGGAGTTTTTTTTCGAAACTAATTTTTTAGATCTACGGAACCCCGAGACTATTTTGTGAAAATCGTTCGGACATTTGAAAAGAGAAGGGGAAGAGCTTTAAAAAATTCATTTTTTTATATTTTATTTTTTTCTTACTATTATTATTATATATACTTTATTATTATTATTATTATTATTATTATTATTATTATTATTATTATATTTTAAATGTTTTATTTTGTTTTATCTTTTTTTAATTTATTATTATTATTTAAAATATTTTATTATATGTATATTCGTTATATTTTTTATCTTATTTTATTTCATTTCCCTACTATTATTATTTTTTTATCTCTATTATTTATCTATACGTATTATTATTATATATATATACACATTTTTTTCATTTATTTTTTATTTGTTGCAAATTATATTTATTATTACATATATACATATATTTTATTTATTATTCTTATACCCTTATATTTTTATTTTCTTTTATTACTCTTTACTTACTCTTTTTATTATTATTAGTATTAGTATTATTATTATTCTATTTTATTTATTTCTATTTACATTTTTTATTTTTCCCCTCTATTTCATTTTTATTTTTATTTCTTATCTTTATTTTTTTAATATTCTTTACATTTATTTTATTTATTTGTATTTTCTTCTTTTTTATTTACTTGTTTATTATGTATATATTATTATCATTATTATTCTTTTTTTCTTCATTTTATTTTTCTTATCGTATTCATTTTTATCTTCACTCATTTTTTCCCTTTATTTCGGTCGTTTTTTATTTTCTTTATTCTATTTATTTTCATTTTTTTATCTAACACTCTTCTTGACTCTCTTAAGGGTACACCTTTAAAACTATCTAAGGTAAGTAATTGAGATCGTATTTTTACCTTTTAATTTTAAATTATAATTTTCTTAATTTAAGACAACTGGAAATTACATAGTACCGAAAGAGCAGTTCAATGGTGCTAACCCTTCTTTGACTGTAACTGACTCCCGAATCCAACACATCTTTGGAAAGACGCATATCATGTAAGAAATACGGTATCCGATCAACCCATTTGTTTTAAAATAAATGATCAGTGGCGATTTCAATTTGTTTAATCCAAGTCGAAGCCTAATTTCGGGGCCCAACTGAAAGACGGTTCCAACACCCTCTTTCCCCTATTTATTTGTGTTGTCTATGAACATTTTGTAAAAAGGACACTATTGGTTATCATATTTTCAAATTTCATCATATATGTCATGGGATAATATTAACACATAACTGCTTTGTGGACGATTTATTAATCTTTTCCAAGGATAATTTTGATTTTGTGGTGGGGATTTGGACTATTATACAATAATTCTATAAATTTTTAGATTTTCAAATTTCAATTTTTTCGATTTGGACTATTATAGGACGTTACTTTGTTGAGTCCTTGATTATTAAAAGTTATAAAGTGGTCCCTTGACTATGCGACATTATTTTGTTGAGTCCCTCAACTAATTAAAGTTATAAAATGGTCATCCGACTATTCATATATTCCTAACTCATCCTATTAAGTTAAAAAATTGACGATAGTCTAAGCTGAAAGTTAACTTGCTGATTGATATTATAAAATCTGATCTCAAAATCTCAAATGACTATCATATCACAATCAACAAGTTAACGTGCAGTTCAGATGATAGTTAATTTTTTAACGAAAAAGGACGAGTTGAAACATATGAATAGTCGGGTGACCATTTTGTCGAGTGACTCAACAAAGTAACATTCTATATTCAGGGAACCATTTGTGTACTTTACCCTAATTTAAGAATTAATTTTATAAATAGGAATATTACGGTAAAGAGGCCTCAATTTAGTAAATAATTTATCATTATTATTTGAATAAAAATGCTGAAAAGATTATTAGACGGCTGCGCCTTCTGCCAATTCCATGCCAAGAAGCATATGTAAACTTGGCAGCTTTAAATGCCATTGCCAACACCAAGCTTAAACAAGAAAAAAAAGAAAGAAAGAAAAAAACAAGAGCAGAGGAAGCTACACCGTCCGCAACTATATAAAACTCGTCGTCGAGCACTCTCTACCCCTGAGTAAGTCAAGCTCGTTGGTTCTCTATCATCAACTCATAGTACTATGGAAGTGTGGTTGTAGATGCTCGTTTTTGTCCGGAGGCTCCGTATTCAGTACACGATACAAATTTAGACCAAGGAAAGCCCAAATCAGCCCAAACAACATGTTATCCTAGCCTCCAATCCACGTGAATTCCTGCAAAACAAAAATGATTATCCAGCGGGAAAGAGAGAAACAGTGTTTGATCATGGGTGGGATACTAAACTGTAAGTTGGTTTTTAATTTGTAATTAACTACTAGATAAAGAGAGGGGGTTAGTTTTTTTTGAGGGGGTTACACAGCAAAAAAGAAAAAAAGAAAAAACGAGCAAGAAGATTACAGAGACAGAACGAAAGGGAAAGAAGGGTATTTGTAAAAGTTTTCTGGTTCAACATTTGGAAAGCAATAAAAAAGAAATCACTTTTTTCCTCCTGATTTCACGATTCTATTAAAAGGAAAGTATCAATCATTCAAAAGGGGCAATAGCATTTTCTCAAGCAAAAGCAACCAAAAACAAAAAAACATTAACAAGGAGGTATTTTGTCTTGTTTCATTTACTTTCTAGTAGTTATTCGTATGTGTGTGGTATTTGTTTTAAAAAGGAAATAAGGGTCGGAGGCTTACCGATTTGGGTCAATGTGATTAACATTGAAGCATTGGTAATTGTTTTGGGAAACCTTGCATATGAGTTTATGGTTAGTTTCTAGGTCGAGATTTTAAAATAGAAGAGTAAGGTTAAAAGAAAGGTTTGGTCTAACTCACCTTGACGTGTTTGGGTCTTCACCGGAGTAGGAATTTTGGTCTCGTTAGGCCGCTGGAGAAGTAGAGAGTCATCGTTGAGGGTGGTCATTGGAGAGGTTTTCTTAATCGGTGAGAATTGGGGGGGCATTAGGATTTTCGGCTGGTGGCTATGGTGGTTGAGATTTTGATTGAGCGTGGGTAAGGGAGAAGCAGAGGAGAAGTCATGGGGTATGTGAGAGGGAGTTTGAGTGTGAGGCGAGAGAGATAGCCGTGTAGAATGATATCAGGGTTTATTTTTTTTACCCTGCATATAGATTCACTAAAATGGTAACGTTTAGCCTTAGGTGAACTCGTGTCTGGTAAGTGGAGTAATTATATGCGTAGTCCATTATCGTTTGACATGTAACGTTTTGGTCCTTAAATCAGTCTTTTACATTTTTAAATTTAGCCTTCATATTTTAAGTGATTTTTCTTTTTAGTCCTCAATTTCTGTTACCTTCATCTTATGATTGTTTTCACATTTAACTCATAATTTTGTTACTTGATAATTTAACCCCATAACCGACTTGTTTAATCTACTGACTGACTTACACTTTATATACCCAGTTTTAATAATTGTTGTTTTTATACTTAATGGTGGTACTGAATACCCATAAGCATGGATTATATGCAATATATTTTGTTTGGTTCATAATTGTGGATGTTTGTATTTTTATTTGCGTGAAATGCTTATTTTCTGGTATGTATGTATGTACCACGTCATTAAATAGTAATTTCAGCATTAAGGTTCTTGTACACTGCCATTAATGAGATAAACCTTTAATTATTAATTGTTTTAACGTGATAGTTATTCTTCATATGTTATGTTAATGTGATGATAATAGAGGTGTAGGTTTAATCATTTTAGGATATTGAAAATTCACTAGCATGTTTATAAAATATATGTGTATATATTAATGTTAACATGTGCATGTATTTTTCAAAGTTTTT